AGATAATAATGTCCAAAGTCACATCATAAATTTTGTAGCTGGACTCAAGTCTATATGGATTTAAATCTGCTCTTTCAGTTATTAATGTAGACTCTCCCAGAGCTCAGGCTGTGTGCCAATCTACAAACCTCGCCAATAACCAATGGTCTAGCATCAGAGTCCATCCCATTTCCCCCTCAATTGCTCCGAGTTGCCCATTTCCAAACAAATAATGTGTGCCTTTTTCATAATGTCAATTTTCAGGTTTCAGAAAGAAAAATTCACAAAGTTCTAGGTAGAAAAAATATTTTAAAATCCCCTAAAACTCAGTTCAGAATTATTTCATGAAGTTTTTATTTAAGATCATCATATTTTTTAAAATTAATGTTCAAGATGCAGACAAATATAGAAATTAAAGTATAGATGTACCATAATCCTCACCTCCTACCTAAAGTGGCCAGATTTTACAAACAAAAAATACAGGACACCCAGTTAAATTTTAATTTTAGGTAAGTAAGGAATAATTTTGTTAGTATACGTCTCACACATATAAGCATACATATATACGTACTCCTACTAAAAGATCATTTGTTGTTTATCTGAATTCAAAGTTAACTCAACATTAACATTTTTTTTTTTAATAGTTGAAGTCTCACTCTGTCACCCAGACTGGAGTGCAGTGGCCGCTCCCAGCCACCGCAGCCTCAACCTGCTGGGCTCCAGCGATCCTTCCGCCTCAGCCTTCCGAGTAGCTGGAATTACAGGCGTGCGCTACACGCCCGGCTAATTTTTTTTTTATTGTAGAGATGAGGTCTCGCCAAGTTGCCCAGGCGGGTCTCAAACCTGCGGGCTCAGGCAATTCAGTCACCTCGGCCTCCCAAAGCGCCGGATTATAGGCTGAGCCACTGAGCCTGGCTACTTGGGTATTTTTAGGTTATGAAAACCTAATACAGGGAAGAACTGATTTTATTCTCTCTTGACCATTTCATGTAAAGGGAGCTTTAATGCTTATATGTTTTTTAAAAGCATCTATTACATTTTAATTTTTGATGCTATGAGGAGGTAGCTGGATCTTACATGCAGTAACAGATACAAAAATGTGAAGAATCTTGGCAAAACATGAAAGAATTACCTGACAAAAAATGACTAACAGAAAACCGAATGTTTTAGTACTCTTAAGACAGAATTCCAGGCACGGTTGCTGCTGTGAAGCGTTGCTGGGGCAGGGTGTGACATCTCCTCTGAAAGTCCTGGAAAGTGGTTCAAGTTTCTGCCACTTGCGTGGCGACCTTGCTCCCTGCCTTTTATGTCGTTTCTCAGTACTGAGGTGCTCTGGGGGCAGGGGACATGTACAGTGTGGCCCTTCTCTCAAGGTGTTTAAAGCCGGTTTTGTTGATACTACTTTGCTTCTGAGACTCAGGCTGGTATGCTCAGGGGACAGAGAGCCAGCTCTTTTATGTTACGTGCTTTATGCTGTTAAAGAAAACCTTAACCATTTGAGAAAATGTAAGTTATAAATGTTTTTATTATTTTTTACTTTTTATTTAAAAATTTTTTTGTAGAGCCAGGGTCTTGCTATGTTGCCAGGCTGGTCTCAAACTCCTAGGCTCAAGCAGTCCTCCTGTCTCAGCCTCCCAAAGTGCTGGCATTATAAGCATGAGCCACCATGCCTCGCCAAAAGTTTTATTATTTTTAAAAAAGCAATAGCTCACTTTTAAATATTTGTGGTTCTTATAAGAACACAAGTGGCCTGGACAAAGACATGGGAAAGATGCCAAATCTCAGTGTATTCATGGATGGCAACTTCATTTTGAATGAGCATTTTGTGATCAAGGCTTCTATAAAGTATAAGTAGGAAAAAAAGATCATTTTAGAATCCTGAAGTATTATTTTAGGATTATTTCATAAATTCTAAGGAAGAACTGATGAGATACTATGAAATGACTGAAAGGTGGTGGGTTTACGGGGAGAGGGGAAGGACTGGTGGGGTGATCACAAGCCATCATCAGTCACTGTCCGGAAAATTGAGTATTCTTTGCTGCTAGCTTGTCGACTTGGTGATAACTAATGAGTGTCTTGTTTCTTCTGCCTGTTGGTGCAACACAGTGAGACGGTTTAAGCGGAAGCATCTCACAGCCATCGAATGCCAACATTTGGCCCGGAGTCATTTGGCTGCGGCTCAGCCCTTTGGTCAAAGATGGACAAACAGAGATCCGAACCATGGTCTCTATCCTAAACCCAGAACAAAAAGAGGCAGTAGGGGTACGTCTTCCAAAAAAAGACTTGCGTTCAAAACCTGTAGTGTGTGTGGCATTTGAGCATCTCCCAGTTTAAAAGTCTCTGCGTGTTGCTGCTGTGATTTTGTAGTCTATTGTGAGAGTTTGAAAGTGTGAGCGTTTGAAACTTTTCCACTGTTGGGAGTTTTCCATGAAAATCTCATCCTACTAAATGGCTGGTAAGAGCCCTGGGAAAATGTGATGGAATGAATCCCACAGATCTGTGTTAATTATATAGTGATAGATACATGGGCCAGTGTCACTGCTATTCTAATCCAGAAGCACTGTGGTTACTTGACTCTCATTAGTATTCTCTGTCCAGTATGTCATAGGTCCACATGTCATTATCTTTCTCCAGAGTGTTCCCCCATTCTGTGCCCTTTTCTACCGAGTGCCTAGACTACTACTTCTTGACTTTAGATTTTTCTCTCTTCCATGTCAACTGGAACATGTGTCATTGAGTTAATTTGTTGTTTATTTTCAGAAGGGAGGTCTTAGCCGAGTGTGGTGCGCACCTGTAGTTCAGTCTCCTTGAAAGGCTCTCCTGAGTCCCGCAGGTCAAGGGTGAGGTAGCCGTGAGCATGCCACTGCACTCCAGCCTGAGTGACAGAGAGAGACCCCAACTCAAAAAAAAAAAAGATGTAGGGGGTCTCGCTCTGTCACCCAGGCTAGAGTGCGGGGGCACA